GCTGGGGGATTGAACCGCGGTCCCTTTGCTTTGCTAAGCTTGTTCCAAGTAGGAGCTTTAGACCACTGAGCCATCTCACCAGCCCCCCAGGAAGGTTTTTGGGCAGAAGTGGGCCCAGAGACACAAAGGTTGGTGGCTCAGGTGTGGAATTTCACACAGCAATAGAGAAGACAAAGGTCAGGGCCCCAGGAAGGAGCCTCGAGAAGGGTACAGGTCTTTGGTTTATAGAAGGTTAGAGTTGGGGTGCAGCCTCCCTGGGGGTGATGGCACCTTGGCTGTGTCTCAGGCCTAAATAGGGCACATGGTGCTCTGTTCCCGGTGGGAGGGACTTTGCTGCTGTGATCGAATCTTGCGATTGGGTGACCTGAGTGATTATATGGAATGACAAGGGTCTTTGGAAGGAAGGGAAAGCAGGGGGAAGGGGAAGCGGGTACAATTTGGATGACTCGGGGGACAGGAAAAGGAGCCATACCCAGGCAGCCGCTGGAAGCCAAAAAGGACAAAGAAATAGATCGCTTCTGCAGCAGAGCCTGCAGGAGCGGGACGGCGGAGTGCCCTGCTCCTTTCCTGACAACGCATGTGGAGAAGTCATGGTGATGCGAGGGGCTCGTTCCAGCCCCAGTCAGGGTGTGTTCCTGGGGACCAGCAGGAGCACAGCCCTCAGGGCCATGGCCTGACAAGGCTCCATCTCCCCTCAGAGTGTGGCTTTTTTCACATGCAAAGTGCGGCTCTAAGTGACACTCCCAGGACTTGTTGCTAGCCCCCACTGAAGGCATTAGGTGGCTGGCACGCACTGGGCACACAACAATGCCAGCCCAGGCTTTCTCCTTGCCCGAATCCACCGGCCTCCCTTCCACATCCGGACAGTGGTCATGGCACCTGCTCTGCACCAGCCACGGATGGACAGCAGTTCCTTCCGGGGACCAATCCACCTTTACACTTGCACCTGCCCGCTATCCACCAGGGTCTCTAACTGCCCACCCCACCCCCATGCTTCTCCTACTGCAGGGTCCAAATTTTGGCTACGTGACCCGAATGCCCCTACCAGAGGAAGTCACCGGGCTGGATTCATTTGGGAACCTGGAGGTGAGCCCCCCGGTGACCGTCGGGGAGAAGGAGTACCCGCTGGGCAGGATCCTCATCGGGGGCAGCTGCTACCCCAGGTGAGAAACAGTGGCACGGACCCTGGAGGCAGGGAAAAGCAGGAGCCGGAAATAGCCTCTCCCACCTTTACCCAAGCAAGAGGGCTCCACAAACCCTGGGCAGTAGGACAGGAAGCCAAGTGCAGGATAAGGATTCTGTGCCTCAGTTTCCCCTCAATGAACTAGGGCAGCAGTTCCTACATTTCTGAGGTGTGAAGGCATTCCAGGCTCCTGCATCACTTCCCTCGCTGGAGGAGGATCCCAATTCCTTTGCAAACCCCTACTCTCAAGGGCCCTCTCATTGCCCGCCCCAAATAACACTCCCTTACCCCTTGGCAGCATGAGGAGCCGGGAGGTGCACCAGGTCCTGCAGGACTTCCTGGCGGCCCAGCGGGTGCAGGCACCTGTGCGGCTCTACTCCGACTGGCTGTACGTAGGCCACGTGGACGAGTTCCTGAGCTTCGTTCCTGCGGCCGACAGGAAGGTGCGGAGTGGGGAAGCCCTCTCGCCCGCTGGGGCCTCGGGACCCCTCTGTCCTCTGCCAGGGGCCCCATCTTTCCTGCCTGACTCAGCTTCTCCCCGGGTATGGGGATCCCGGGGCAGCGGCCTCTCTCCCCGGGGAGTCCCGGGCCCCGCCCCTCTGACCCAGCGTTTCTCTGCTAGGGCTTCCGGCTGCTGCTGGCCAGCCCCAGGTCCTGCTACGAGCTTTTCCAGGAGCAGCAGCGGCAGGGCCACGGGGAGGCGTCGCTGCTGGAAGGGCTCAAGAGTAAGTCGCTGCACCTTGTTCTGTCTGGCGCTGGGCCTGCCCTGGGCCTATCGGGGCTCGGTGCTCCAGGAAGGCTTCCTGGAGGCCAGAGGATGCGCAGTGAGGAGAGGAAAGAGCTGCTGTACACACGGAGGGGACAGTGAACAGACGGCTCTGAGGAGGGAAAGGAAGATGCTCTCAGAGCCAGGCGTGGTGGCTCATGCCTGTAATCCCAGCACTTGGGAAGCTGAGGCAGGAGAATTGCTGCAAGTTCGAGACCAGCCTGGGCTACAAAGTGAGCTCAAGGCCAACCTGAACTGCCTAGCGAGACCCTGTCTCAAAAAAAAAAAAAAAAGCTCCTGTGACCCTGGAAAAAGCCCTGTGTGACTAGAGCTCAGAAGAAATCTTATTTTCCATAAATTTTGCTGCCTTGCTGGCTGCACCCCTGCTGCCTTGCTCTCCTTTCTAAACCCGATCTCATGGGAGACAAGAGAATTTCCAGGGGGAAAGGGAGATTTTTAATGAGAACTCATATCTGCTGTGCTCACAGCAAACCCGTGCGTCAGGGACTACAGCCACCCCATTTGACAGATAGGGACACTGAGTCCCCTGCCTGGTACATGATGGAGAAGGGAGCCTCTGGATTCGTTTGTGATCTCTCTCTCTCTCTCCCCCTCCCCACGACAGAGAAGAAGAAGCAGAAAATAAAGGCCATTCTGTTGGACAAGGCATTGAAAGAGCAGAACTCGTATGTGCAGGTACTGAGCAGAAGTGCTGGAGATGACATGCTCAGGGGCAGACCCCAGGCTCTGCCCAGCCACCTGCGTGGCTGCCACACAGAGGGAGAAGTGGAGAATGGGGGCCGGGGAGATGGCTTAGTGGAATAATCGCTTCCCTGGCAAGTGCAAGGGCCTGAGTTCAATCCCCGGTTCCACCAAAAAAAAAAAAAAAAAAAGAGAGAGAGAGAGAGAGCATGGGAGAGAGAAGTGGAGAGTGGCGGGGAGGTCCACTGAAAGCAGGCTACTGGCCGTCTGTGCCCAGGACCCTGGCAGCCGCCGTCACTGCCCCACCCCCCCTTGTCTGTCCCTCGGCCTCAGCCCCTGTCCCAGAGTGTCCCCTTCTCCCCCAACCCAGCGCTGCATCGACTGGAACCGCGTGGTGCTGAAGCGTGAGCTGGGCCTGGAGGAGGGTGACATCATCGATGTCCCGCAGCTCTTCAACCTGACCACCAAGTGGGGCCTCAAGGCTCAGGCCTTCTTCCCCAATATGGTGAGGAGGAGCAGCCATCTCCAGCCCCACGGACTGGCCTTAACAGGGTGCTCAGTGGGGAGGAGGTTAGAGTGGCCAGCAGGGGCCCATTCAGCTTCCAGAGCCTCTCAGGGTTCTCCCTGTACTACCCTCAGAGAGTCAGATCTGTGGGCGCCTCGGTGGCGCCCCACACAATGGTCCAGGTGAGAGTGGCGGTGGCTTCGAAGCCAGGCTCTGGCTGCAGAGCCCAAACTGTAACCACCATGGCAGTGCCACCCGCTGGGGGCTGAGGTGGGCAGAGAAGCCACAGACAAGATGCGCTGAGCCACACTGCCCCGCAGGGGGCTCTGGGAAGCTTCCGGAGGTGGAGCTAGACTCAGCCTTCCGAAGGGCGTACACCTTCTTGGGGACTCAGCTCTGACCCCAGGTACTGTCATTTTACGGGCCCCGTGGTCTGTTCTGTACCTAGTTCTTCTGGCTCTAGGCATCACAGCGCAGCGGGGAACCAGCAGTCCATCACACAGCAGTTTGCAAACTGGGTTCCCCGGAGCCCTGGGGTCCCAAGGCAGCACCTCAGACCTGGAGGTTTGGGTTGTCTCTTTCCCACATGGGGCTTCTGCCCTTGGGTTTCGTTCAGAAGGAAGGCTTTCTTGGCCTGAGGGAAGCTAGGGAAGGGACAGCTTCTACCTTGAGCCAAATGAGACTCCTTGGCCCCAAGCGTTTCATTTCCCAGCCAGTTTAGCTGAGCCAGGCTTCCAGGTGCAGGTAGGGAAGCCGATGCTGACAGCCAGAGAATGAGGAATCTTAGAGTGGTCCGAGTGAGGACTGACTGTGCCCGAGGCCCCTGGAGGGAACCTCTGAGAACCCCATGGGAAAGAGATCAGGTGGGAGAAGGGAACAGGCAGAGGTACACTACGCAGGCCACTGGTCATGGCTGGGTCTGAGCAGTGACAGAAGGAGAAGCCCTTGAAGGACTCATGGCTCCCGGAGGCTGCCTGAGCACCTGCTATTTCTGGCACCATCCTGTGTGTAGCTCCTCTCAGCTGACAGTCATGGCAATGGACACTTGGGCTCATCAGGCTGATGAGGATCAGAGAGGTGAAATGGCCTGCCTGACGTCACACAGCTGTTGAGAGGAACAAGGGTGTAAGCTCACGCTGGCCTGCAGCCCAAACCATCACCCTCCCCCTCACCTGAAAAGAAAGCTCTTTCTGGAGTTGTGAAATGCAGAAAGCCCTGTGTTGGAGGCAGCATCCCTCCCTCCATTCAGCAGAAGGTTTGCAAGCTAAGCACCTACTGTATGCAGGCACCATGCTGGGAGGCAGGGGCCATGGAGGGGAAGTGATTGGTTGTCAGAGTGCAGGGATTTGTGGGCAGCTATCCTGAGGGACTGGCATTTGAGCTGGTCCTCACCAGGAGGCGGCAGTCAAGGAGGAAAGCATGGGGTCAAAAGCACAGATCCTTGGGGCCAGGATGATGGCTTAGTAGAATAAGCGCTTCCCTGGCAAGCGCAAGGGCCTGAGTTTAATCCTTGGTTCCACCAAAAAAAAAAAGAAAGAGAACCACATGCCAGCCAGCCCCACCCCCGGTGGGCTGAGCTGGCCACGCACACACAAAATAAATAAATAAATAAAAAAAAAAAAAAAAAAAGCACAGATCCTGGAGTCTGGCAGACTTGAATGAAAATTGTAGGACATCCAGGTGGCCGTGGATGACCAGTTTTACCTAGCTGAAGCTCAGTCTCCTGTGAAATGAGACCATTGTTACTGAAGGTCAGAGGAAGGTGGGGATACATGGACAGTGGTGCAGGTAGCGCACTGTGGCCTCTGAGCTGAGCCCCCCACTTCCCTGCAGGTGAACATGCTGGTGCTGGGGAAGCATGTGGGCATCCCCAAGCCCTTCGGGCCCATCATCAACGGCCGCTGCTGCCTGGAGGAGAAGGTGCGCTCGCTGCTGGAGCCGCTGGGCCTCCACTGCACCTTCATCAATGACTATGACAGCTACCACGTTCGCCACGGGGAGGTGCACTGCGGCACCAACGTGCGCCGGAAGCCCTTTGCCTTCAAGTGGTGGCACATGGTGCCCTGAGCCACCCGCCCTGGCAGTCTCTCCATGTACCCAAGCTTCCAGCAGAGGCTTGCTGCCTCCCCTGCGCCCCCTCCTGGTCCTGCTGTGCTCCCCAAATTGGTCCCAGCAGTGCAAACTGAGCCCTGCACTGAAAAGCTAACAACAATGAGTTGTTTTTAGTCACTTTGTACACGAGGTCGCAGAACCGTTCCTGTCGTCCATTCACTCTCGCCCCTGTTGTAGCAGAACCAACTGTTACAAACTCTGAAGTACCATCAGGGTGGTTGGAGGCCTGAGTCTTTTGTCCCCCAAAACATTTCTTGGTCTCTAAACCTTGTGGAACTGAGTTGGTTCTGAGCTTCCCAGGAACCAAGCTGGAAGAGAAAGGAAGGCTGAGCCCTCGGGGTGCTGACACCCCCCACCTTTTTAGAGCCAATGAGATCCGTTCCAAGTAGCCTGGGTATATGGCATCCATGTAATTATTCAATCTACATATCTATAATATGTGCTTCTCAGATGAGTGTTTCATAACAAAACATGAGCTTTTTTTTTTAATGTGTGTGGTACAGGGTCTCACTACACAGCCCAAACTCCTAGCAATCCTCCTGTTTTCAGCCTCCCCAGTGTTGAGATTACAGGCGTATGCTAACATGCCTGGTCTTAGTGGCCAGTTTAGCACGTGGCATGTGGTGCTGGGGATCGAACCCCAGTCCCCGTGCTTGCCTATGCAGGCACTTAGTCTGCTAAGCTATCTCTCTGGCCCTCATGAACTTATTTTTACAAATAGACTGGATTGCAGAGATCTATGGGACCAGAAGAGCAGGATTGTCAGCAGAAAGCAAAGCTGGCTTCAGGTTTCTTGAGAGACCCTCATGGGATGCTGACAAAATTCTGCGGGCATATGTGGGATCTACATAGTGTATTTCCATTCATGCTGTTGGTTAAGTTAAAGACAAGGCTGGCAAGGTGGTCAAGACAGCCCTAAGGAGGCCAACAAGATCTGATAGCCTCTAATCCCAGCATTCAAAAGGCTGAGGCAGGAGGATCATGAGTTCAAGGCCAGCTGGGGAAATTAGCAAGACCTTGTCAAAAAACAAAATGAAAATGGGTGTGATGGCACACACCTGTAATCGCAATGTCCCAGGAGGCTGAAGCAGAAGGATCGAAGGTTCTAGCACCGCCTGGGCAATGTAGTGACTTAGCAAGATCCTGCCTCAATAAAGGGCTAGGGCTGTTACCACAAAACTAAACCAAACTCAAAAGGGCTTGGTGCATAGCTTAGTAGTAGAACAATGCTTGCCTAGGACGCGGGAGGCCGTGGGTTACATCCCTAGTACTGGAAGTGTCAAGTTTTGGGGCATTTTAGATTTGAGGAATAGGAGATGTTTCACTGATCAAATCTATACAAACATTTCAAAACTCTGAAACCTAAAGAACTCCATAGCAAGCATTTTTGGATGAAGGTTACTCAACCTATAATCCCTCTCCGTGGTCTTTTGTGGGACTTAGTTTTAGTGGCCCTCGTCTGGCGTCTCTAAACTGGAGACCATCCCCAGGCTGCTTAGAGGCTGTTGCTCCAAAAACACCCAGAGAATCTGTTGTTTCTTTGCCAGCCCTGGAGAGCACTTGTGGGTGGCAAAGATGGGCTTGGGAAGCCTCTGTTCACAGTTAGGAACATGCCCCAGGCAGGCAGGGTGCCAGGGAGGGCACCTGCCACGGGCCTGGGGGACTTTAGCTATGTAGAAGAAGCCGCCAGAGGACACGGGTTGTCGGGAGAGAGAGAGAGGGGGAGAGGGAGAGAGAGAAGGGCGTTATGGGATGGGCTTTGAGTTGATTTGCAGAATAAAAAATGCTGGAGGTGTGGGGCTGGTGAGATGGCTCAGTGGTCTAAAGCACCTACTTAGAACAAGCTTAGCAAAGCACAGGGACCACAGTTCAATCCCCCAGCCCCACATGCCAGCCAGCCCCAACCCCTGGTGGGCTGAGCTGGCCACACACACACACACACACACACACACACACACATACACACACACACATAAATAAATAAAGATATAAAAAAAAATGCTAGAGGTGTGTTGACATTGGTGTGATTCCCTGACACTGCACAACTATCCTGTCCCCTCACTGTAAAAAAGCTGAAGGCAATTCATCTTGTTAGGTTTTTCTTTTTAACCAAGATAAAAAATGAAACCTAAAAAATTTTAAATAAAGCCTGTGCCCAGTGGGAATCAATTACGCCTGAGTTAAAACTGAGCCTCTCTGATGAAAATCAGCTGCTCGCTCTGCCCAGCCTTTTCTTGGGTAGAGGATGCACAGGTTTCGTGAGATCCACAGGCCACACACACGTGGCTGTGAGGACACAGAGCAGCCTATGGGCCTCAGCAGAAGAGGCCCGAGGTTCTGCAGGACCCCTGGGTGCAGAAGGATAGGGAGGCAAGCTAGTGGATCTACGGCTCCCACAGTCGCGGGACACACCCCAGCCATATGGGCAGAGGACAGCAGCTTAGAGGGACCAGGAGCCCCAGAAGGAAATGCAACCGGCCCCAAAGAGCATGGGGCCACCCCTGAGGGGGTGGTTGCTAAAATCCAAACAGAGCCAGGGGCATGCAGAACCCCAGCTAAGCGAAGCTGACAGCTCTCACCTGTGACCTTGGCCTCGTTCTATTCGCAAGCCTAAAGGAAACTTGGGTTGTTTCTGATCATGTTTATGTTAGAAACAAAATTAATCCCCAGCTGATTGTAAGCAGCCAACCTATGACTATGTGATTAGGGCCTTTCCGATGAAGTCCCTGAAAAAGGTGATGTTGCATGGCAAAGCAAATTAACTTTTCTTTCACTTCTGTATTTGCCTAATAAATACTTGCCTGTTCTACCCCCTCACTTGCTGGGATGCTTAGGATGACATCTGCAGTATATCCGGGTGTCCAAGGCAGTCTCCCCAGCCCGTGCTCCTCAACGTTACCACCTCTACAAAGCCCTTTCCACCTTCAAGGCAACATCTCTGCTCAGGAGCTAGGACCTGACTTCCTTACAGGTGGACCCGAAATCCTTACGGACCTGACATCTTTTGGGTGACTTTGATGTGCTGCATTTGTAGCCATTATTCCATCTATGGATGGAACAGGGAAAGAAAAGGCAGAGCAGAGAAAGGAAACCCAGGCTTCTCCCTCTATGCTTTAGAAGCTCCAACCTCATAAAAACAGTTTTGACTTTGAAAGTTGAGTTGCCACAGTTTGGTGGTTTAGATCTGGCTCCCAGAAATAGATATTGGGATGGAGACTGACTGGCAGGAGATTTGGGGGCTGGGCACCTCAAGAACACTAGTGAGCTGGCCCACAAGTGTGCCCCTCCCCCTATTCATTTCCTGCACCTGTGCCCCAACCTATGTCACAGCTGTGCACAACCACACCGCCTCGATCACCTGGGAATAGGACCACACCTGGGACCTGCCAGACCCCGGGGCTTTACAGTGTTAACAGGTGCCCCTGCGTTTTATTTTTTTAATGGGTTCTTCCATTGTAGTCCAGGCTGAACCCTGAAACTCACGATCCTCCTGCCTCAGCCTCCCAAATACCGGGATGACAGGCACGTGCCACCATCCCTGACACCCCTGATAGTCTTTGCAACCACTACAGCCCTAAAAAGCATAGGTCCAGCATCTGCCAGCTTCCCCAGGAAAACACACACAGAGAACAGAGGCCCCAGGCCCGCCTGCCCCCACAGGTTCCCTGCAGATTTCTGACGGTTTCCAGCTGAGCCCTCCTGCACCTTGGCCACCCAATACCCCTAGCTTTCCAGAGACCCGCTGGCTCCCCGCTGAAGATCAGCAACCTAGGTACCAGCCTCCTGCTTCAAGATGTGCAGAGGGTGCAGGCACAGGATGCTAGCCAAGGTACCTCCACCACCCGCCCCCCACAGCCCTCCTCTGCCCGCTCACAGCCACCAGGAAGCCTTGGTGAAGAGGAGTGGTCACACGTGGCAGCCACAGAAGCCACCCAGGGCTTAATGAGGGGGCGGGCTGGGGAGGCCTCCACCCCATATCAGGGTGAACGGGGCGGGCACTGGGGCGAGCTGAGGCTCCTGGGCTGTGTTACGGTGCAGACCTGAGAGTGGCAGGCTGGGAAGGAAGCACTATGTCCCACCTGAGTGTCATCCACCTCTCTCTGGATGTCCCTGTTCATGGCGTTTGTGTGCTGGGCACCAGCCTCGTTGTGGACATCAGTGGGTGAGACTTAGGCCTGGCAGGGAACAGGGCACTGGCACCCAGGGCTTTGTCCATGGGGTCTGCTCAGCTTTGGGGTCTGGCTTGGGTCTCTAGAAGACTCCATGATCCCGCTGTGGAGCTTAAGCCCTGCCCCTGCCTACTGCACACCATGTGCCCTAGGAGGGTAAGGGCATTGCCCTCTCTGTCCCCTTTGCGCAAGGGTCAAGCAGCCCTCCAAGAAGAGCAGGAAAGGGAGCCTCGGTCCCAGCTGCCAATGTCTTCACTGGGGTCACTGTACAAACCTACAGCCCCCCCACCCTTTTTCCCCCTGCAGGGGGGATTCCTTGAGGCTCTGACATGCTCTTCCTGCCTTGGAGTTGGGGGCTTAGAAGCAACATGTAGCTTCTTCTGCGGTATCAGGGGGTGTGGGTCTGGCTAGAGCTCATTGGAGGGTGGACAGGGTCCTTGGAGGAGTGGCAGAAGGCTGGGTGAGTCACGACCCCAAACCTGCCCTGCCCGCAGGCTTTTGCCTCTGTCCCAAGGAAGAGGGGGCTGAAGCCATGCTAGCCCTCCGTGCCACCCAGGTGGGGGCCCTTCGTGCCCTGATGTCTGTCTCCCTCCTGGCTAAACCAGGTGCGCCCCAAAGGACTGTACATCCTTCACAATCACCTGCTCCCCAAGGGTCCTGGTGGCCCTGAAAAGCAAGGTGACCAGCGGGAAGGACAAAGCCACGGTCTGGCACTCGCTGGCCGAGCCTGTGTGCGCACTCGTGAAGATGGTGCTTCCCAGCTCGGATGTGGACGAGGACAAGGTGAGCCTGCAGAGGTGGGCTGGGGGCACCCAGGCGCCGCCACCCTCGCCCCCGATGCAGGGTCCAGTCAAAGTATGAGAACCATGAGTGCTGGGTGTCTGCCTTCGTTTACTGCCTGCAGTGGCCCGTGAAGTGGGTGCTGTGTGGCCCCTTTTCCAGATGGAGAACCTGAGGCACTCAGGGAAAGGAGTGCTGATCCCAAGCCAGTAATCAGCAGCACGGGTTTGAGCTCAGGGGCTGCACTGGCTTTTAGTCTGCTGCTTAATCTGGTCTAAAGGTGGGCTTTGTGGCTTGGGAGAGTATGAACTCTGAAGAGATGGCTGATATAAAATGCATGGTGCACGCTGGGTACTGAGGAAGTGTCCAGCACCTCTCTATGGACCCAGTGCAGGTGATTCCTAGAGAGGCCCGTGGCATGCTTAGATAAGAACCGAGCGCCTCGTAGCTAGGATCCGATGCTGTGATGCATCCCAGCTGGGCCCAGGCCACCTGAAAGCCATCCTCTGCTCGGCATTCAGCCTCTAGCACCATCATGGCAGGCTCTGGATTGAGACCCTTGACCTTGGAAGACAGGTGCCTCCATGTGGGGACAGGAGGTGGAGCACACATGGGCAGGTGGCCCTGGTTGGCTGCTGGGTCTCTGGTTTGTGAAGAGCTGGTGGTTGGGCCAGGGCTGCAATACAGGTCCCCAGTGCAGAGGCCCCTGGGAGGAGAGGCTGCTATGTGACTGGAAACATTCCGATTCCCCTGCTACCCTCAGTGCCCACTCTCTCTAGTGGGCAGCTTGAGCCTACAGACCCCGCCCCAGGTCCCCACCGTCCACCTCTGTTCTTTTGGTGAACAATTTGCATCAAGAGCTTTAAGAACAAAGCAGGCATTGGGAGCATGCCTGCAATCTCGGCACTCTGGGAGGCTGATGCAGGAGGATTGCAAATTTGAGCCCAGCCTGGGCAATTTAGCAAGACCTAGTTCTAAAGATGAACAAACCTAGGGCTGGCCAGATAGCTCAGGGGACTAAAACGCCTGCTTAGGCAGAGCACAGCAGCTGGGGTTCGATCCCTGATGTGCTGTGCCAGCACCACCCCTGGGGCATGCTGAGATGGCAATTGAGACTGGGCATGGTGGCGCGTGCCTGTAATCCCAGCGTTTTGGGAGGCTAAAAGCGGGAGAATCACTACGAGTCTGATCTACATAGTGAGACCCGGTAGACCCTGTCCCAAATTCACAAAAAAAAATAAAAAATAAAAATAGAACAAGCCTGTCTGGGCCCTAGGGCTCTGCTCCGGCCCCACCCCACTGGGCGCTGTCTCCTCAGGTGCTGGTCTCCTACTACCGTGCCAATGAGGAGGTCCCTTTGGTCACAGCGGTGCTCTACCTCACTGGTATTGGTGAGTCTGATTTCTGGGGGGCCTTGCCAAGTGGGAGGGACTCTGAGGGGCTCTACCCAAGGCAGGTCACTGCCTCAGGACCCAAAGGGCTCATTTGGGACACACCCATGCATCCCCACATTCTCTTCTCCTGTCCTCCCGCCTGCTGACCTTTTTTTTTTTTTTTTTTTTTTTTTTTTTTTTTTAATTTATTTATTTTGTGTGTGTGGCCAGCTCAGCCCACCAGGGGGCGAGGCTGGCTGGCATGTGGTGCTGTGGGATTGAATCGCGGTCCCTGTGCTTTGCTAAGATTGTTCTAAGTAGGTGCTTTAGACCACTGAGCCATCTCACCAGCCCCTGCTGACCTAATTTCTAAGGATGGAAATGGCCAGCCCTTCACACCTTGCTCTCCTCTGCCCACCTACTTGTGCCTGGCATCCACATTCTGCCTCTTTCTGTCCCCAGTTCTTGCAGATGAGAGAAGCCACCACCCTTCCACCTTCTCTCCTGGGCTGGACCCACCAGCCCAGGAATGAGTTACAATGTCCACTATCTTTGAATCAATTCTGTTCTCTTTCAACTTTGCTCTCCACCATTGTCCTTAGGAGCCATCTGTGTGCCCTCAAATTCTTTTTCCCTCGGATCTTTTCAAGCCTAATACCCACCACTACAGTGCTCTTAGCTGCGACTCTATGGCTTCCCTGCTAGACTGTCACCTGCTCCATCTTCTCTACCCGCCCTAGCAGTAGCCAGTACACCTGGTGTCCCCCTCGACCGCCTTGGCCCCTGCAGCCCCTCTCGGCTTCTCTGGGCCACATGGGCCTGGATCTGCCAGCTGCCTGGTGAAGTGTTAGGCTTACGTGGCTCTACGTGTCACCTACATGCTCCTGCCAGCGTCACCTCTAGCCCAGTTCATCACCCATGAACTCCAGTTGGGTTTTGCCCACTCCCCTCTGTTTCTGGGTTCTATCTTGGTGACTCCCAAGTTAAACAGATTTTGACCCCCAAACCTATTTTTCTAGGTATCTCCCTGTCACGACACATGATGGCTAGTGCTCCATCTCCTGGCTGTCCAGGCTGGCGGCCTTGGAGTTTGCTTGAGTCCTCCCTAGCCCTGTATCACTCTGTGAATCTCCATGTCTATGTGCAGTGGTAATCCGCCAACTCTGCAGCCTGGTGCGCTCACCCTGGTCCAAGTGCCCACCCCTCTCACCTGGCTCACGGCCAGGGCCTGCCAGTGGGATCCCCCCTTGCCAACCTTACCCTTCTACCGGTGTAGGTTTCTATCCCTATGGCATGCCTGCAGGTTGATGGCCCTGGTTCCAGCCTTGGGCATCTGCTGAGGACTGCCCGCAGTTTCCGGGCTTGTCCAGCAGCCCAGGTGACCGAGTCCCCACTGCTCGCTTTTCAGAGGTCTCCCTGCAGACAGATGTCTACCGTGACGGGCATGAGATGCCAGTCAACAAGCAGACTAAGGTGAGGCTGCTTGTGAGGAAGGGGGTGGAATGGGCTGTGATCCAGGCCTGCTTTTGGATTGAGCTTCGGGGTATCAAATTGCTACACTGCAAGCTGCCGCTGCGGTTCCTGGCTGGCTGAGAACCTGGCACATCAGGTGCACACAAGGCTAGGATGAACAGGTCCATTCCTAGGCCTGTCACGTGGCCCACTAGGGCAGGGCTAGCTGCCGCCACCAGGTGGGAGGGTGCTCCTCTCCCCGCTTCTCCAACGCTAAAACACGGCTGGGGCTGGCAAGCCGTAACCAGCATTAGCTGTCTTCTCCGTACTCCTGGGCCCTCGATATTCCTCCAGATTCTCCACCTCACTGTCCTGGAGGTCCCCAGCACCCTAGAGAAGGGTGTGGCTCTCCTCCCTGGAGGACAGTGGCACCTGGAAAGTGCTGATTTCATGGCTTCTTCCTAAGCCTACATCTCCTATCATTGCAGGAGACGTGGGTCTGGGGCCCCGCTGGCTGGGGGGCCATCCTTCTTGTGAACTCCAGCCCTGCTGACGTGAACCCGGACACCCAGATGGTGGTGTCAGAAGGTATGACCTCAGCTGTCCCCATGTGTTCCTGCTCTGGCTCTAACCCTCAGCAAATACTCCAGGCCATTTCCTAAGGGCAGGGGTGTGTGTGTGTATCTGTCTTTTTGAGTCAGGGGTCCCACTGTATAGTCCAGTCTGGCCTTGAGCTCATTTTGTAGCCTAGGCTGGTCTTGCACTAGAAGCAATCCACCTGCCTCAGCCTACTGAGTGTTGAGAGCACAGGAGTGCACCACCTCACTCAGATCCAACCTTCTAAATTTGTTATAACTGGCTGGTTGAGATGGCTCAGTGGTCTAAAGCACCTACTTAGAACAAGCTAAGCTAAGCAAAACACAGAGACTGCGGTTCAATCCCCAGCACCACATGCTAGCCAGCCCTGCCCCCTGGTGGGCTGAGCTGGCCACACACACACTAAATAAATAAATATTAAAAATAATAAATTTGTTATAACTGAGGGTTGAACCCAGGGCCTTGGTACTGAGAACCCCCCACACACACACACACACACACGCACACCTCTCTGTTTTTGTTGAGAGTCTTGCTACGTAGTTCAGGCTGGTTTTGAACTCCTGTCGATGCCCCTGCCTCAGTCTTCCAACAGCTGGGATCTCGGGTATCAACTGTAAACTGCCCGGATTGGGCTCCAACTTGGAATCTTCCTGCCTTGGCGCCTCAGAGTTGGGATTATAGGCTGGTGCCAGGCCCACATCCCGCTTGATCAAATCTTTTCTCGGCTGGAGGTAGCACGTTTGCTTAGCATTGCATGATGTTCTGGGTTCCATTCCCAGCAACGGCAACCCCAAAAACTTGTACCCAGAAGCTGGGCACCTGGGAAGAAAGCACCCGTACTGCTTCACGGAGCACAGCATGGGTTGTGGTGCCAGCTAATGCTAACTTTCTAGCTGTGCATTTGAGCGCACTGCCTGCCTGGGTCTTGTTTCCCCTTCTGTGACGTGGGGGCGAAGACCTAAAAGGGCCACTGCCAACCTTAGGCAAAAGCAGTCTCGGGTCTGGTCCTGACTCGGGGTGCGATTCTGGTCTTGGAAGCAGCAATGGGGGTCACCCCAAGGATGGAGGAGAGTGCGTGTTGAACTGTGCGTGTCAGGTCCTGTTCTATGTATCCTTGTGGAGCACAGGGGTAACCAGTATCCTCACTTGGAAGCGTTGCTGGCGTTGGTAGCTTGCCTCTGGCTGTGTGGGGGGTCCTCACTGCTGCGTCACGCAAGCCCCCACCCCACATCGCTGCTGCTCTCCTCCCGTCCCTGGAGCCTCGACTCTTGCCTTGTCCTTTGCCCAGATATCAAGGAGCTGACCCAGATGACACTGAGCATCCAAGGCCCCACCTGCATCTTGAAGAACTACCGGCTGGTCTTCCACACCTCCGAGGAAGAGGCCAAGAAGGCCCGAGTCTTCTGGCCACACGGTGAGGCACCAATTCTACGGGACCTCATAGATAGGGGGTGAGAAGCACTCTATACAGAGAGGGGGCATCTGCTCCCAGTAACTCCTGTTGGAGGAGCTCCCCTCCCTTCTCCAAGATCCAGGATATTAAGCGCCTAGGATTCAGTAGGCCAAGAAGCCAGCATTGCTGTTGCAATGGTTCCTTCCTCCCAGCTACCACACCAGCTACCACACCACACATTGCCCATCTCCAGAGGCAGGCACCAAGGCCCGTCCTCGGGTGGAGGCCTGGAGGGAGGGCTGCTGATGCAGAACTGGCATGTCCAACTGTGAGTGAAACACTCCTGGAGAATCTTGACTTCCCTTAACGGGCTCAGTCTAAGGCCTCAAAGTTTCTCAACTTGAGACTTAACTCTTGGCCTGGAGCTGTGCATCAGTGGGCCACTGCCTTTTAAAGCCACACGAGGCCTCGGCAGAGCAGTGAAGTGCTGTGGTCGTGGCATGACTGGCCTTAGAAGGAGGACCGTCTCTTGCCAACACTGGAGCTACTTGTGCTAGGGGCCCTGAGGGCGCCATTGTCCACTCCAGCCCTTTTGTGGACTAGAGCTGGACCTGGAGGTGACCTGGGAGACGTCGGCCCAGGTTGGGTGAGCTCCAGACCTGTGAGTTTAGGCCTGATTCAGGATATAGGACTACTCTGGTCCTATGAGGCCACCAGCTTTGGACAACTTGGAGGCAAGATGGGCTGGGCTAAGTGCTCCTTGGAGGCCCCTGATTCTCATAGCCTGCCAAGGGCACTGTGTTTCCTGGTGTGTGTGTGTGTGT